TTATGTTAATTGATGATTATGATAAATGAATATTATGGATGATTACGAGTAATGAACCCACTGATTAAAATAAGTATTTATGATTGAATCATGAGTAAAATGAATACAATTATAATTATGAAATGATTTGTAGTGTTAAAGGTATCTCGAGGAACTCTAAGATATACACATTTAGAGAATTGATGTTAAGGCTATTTAGAAGACCTCTAGAATAGATCTCATATTAGTATGGATTTGTAAAACATGAATATTGATGAATTAGATAAAAATACATAAACGGGATTCGTAGACCAAGCTAGAGAATTACTCGTTTGGGAATGCCCGATCCAATATTGATCAATTGACATATTGTTGTTGTTGCCTTAACTGACTACAGTTAAGTGTCTGAATCATTTGCCTTAAACTAGTGATAGTTTAAGTGTCTGATTGCCTTAACTGACTACAGCTAAGTGTCCGAAATCAATTGCCTTAAACTAATGATAGTTTAAGTGTCTGATAATTAATTGCCTTTTTAAGAGCATTGTTATGATCTGGCCTTAGACTAAGAATAGCTAAGAGCATTGTTATAATCTGGTCTTAGACTAAGAATAGCTAAGAGCATTGTTATAATCTGGCCTTAGACTAAGATTAGCTAAGAGCGTTGTTATTGTTTGGCCTTAGATTAAGAATAATTTAAGTGCGCTATTAGAATAATATCTGAATTGAATAAAATGTGTTGAAATGAACTGAACATTATCAAAACTGTGAATGCCTGAAATGAAAATTGTGTGCATGATATCAAATGAATTGAATATGAATTTAGATTCAATTTATATGGATGTTCGAAGCATTAGATATGCTTACTCAGCTTTACCGCTGAGCGTGTAGTGTGTTTTATTTGCTACACGCAGGTAAACAGAAAGAACAATGTGATCCTGGCGGCAGATGGGGCGAGATTGTCGGGATGGATGTGACAAGTTTGAAATGATTTATGATGTGCAAATATTAAATTCTCTTCCGCAATATTGTTGAATACTCTGCAATGTATCTGTTATGAAAAATATTATTATGATAAATAAAAAGTGTTTGAAAAGTTTTAAATTATTACGATTACCAAGTTAATACTTTAGTCCGAAAGGGGTTGCAGACCTGGACGGATTAGGGTGTTACAATTTGGTATCAGAGCAAATGGTTTTAAAACCGATCTTCGGATAAAAAAAATGAATTTAAAAAAAAATGTGTTAGTCACATCCACGACTTTCGCATCCCTCTGCTCTAGGAAAGGTATGAGAATTTACTTGGTAAATATTGACTCTGTTAGAATTCTCTTTAAAGAATAATTGTTAGTACTGAAATTATATCGATCATAGACTCAAGTAAGATTTTTCGTACTCGGTGAAGAGACGAAAGAAAAAAAAATAATGACTCCCTGATACGTTATCAACGTACTTATCGCATTGCAAATGACGAAACTAATCTGCCTTGTAAAGTTGCATAGAAGTGAGACGATTATGAAGAAACGATTAAGGTTGAATAACATCTGTGAAGTTGCTGTCAAAGATCCTCATGTGAACTGAAGATGATCGGATCGCTGATTCAAACACGAACGTTTAGAATCAATAAACTCTGTTGTCTAAAAGTATCCCATTCTGATTACAACGCAAATATGCGATTATATCATACGAATCGAAATCGTTCGTTGAGCAACAATTCCTTGCAAAACTTTGTTGAAATATCATACAAGGAAATTGACGTTATCCTTATCTTGTATCTATGACTTATTTGATCAGTTTAGAGAATCCATTGTGCTCTCTAATTTGACTTACGGTCAAAGATACTATCACATCTCTGTTAAAACAGACAAACTAACGATCAAAAATCGCTACCCTTTACTATGAATTGACGATTTATTCGGTCAAATTCAAAGAACCTACTTGTTAAAAGCTATGGATAGCTCAATCTTGTCAAATGAGGTGTCGCATTGTTATGACACGATTAGTGACTTAAACATCGATGTAGTTCGATAGAACAAATATCCGTTGTCAACTCGTCTATTCAAGTCAAAGAATCCTAATGAAATTCCTGTTATTGTAGAATGAGTCAAGAAACCGCTCACAATCAAAGTAACCAAGTACCAAGCGATGGGCATGAAAATGTTCATACTGAATCATCCAGTTTCACACCTCCTATTCAAACTGAACAAGTGAACTCACAACATATTCCCCAAAATGATCAAAATGTTGGAGGTCAACCTGATGCTATGTTACCTACCTTAATGGTAAACTTCTTGCAACAAATGACTCATGCCCCTATGTTTCAACCACCTCCACCACCACTTCGTTTGATCACTTTCAAAACCTTGAAAGATAATGGTGCTGAGGAGTTCTTGGGAGATCGAATTGCCGAACCCCAGATCGCTCTTGAATGGATCGAGCAGACCGCTCGTGTACTACAAAATCTGAACATACCTCTTGCTGATCATCCAAAATTTGCATCTCAATTGCTCCGTAAGGAAGCCTATGAATGGTGGAAACGCACTGACGAAAATCCAAACACACCCAAACCGTGGACTTAGGAATTCTTCGATTGAGCGTTCAAGAAGGAATATATACCAGCTCGATTCTGTGAAGAAAAGCGTGCTGAATTTATTCAATTGAAGCAAAGAGATATGACACTCCCTGAATACCGACAAAGATTTGTCCATCTCGCTCAATTTGCACCCACACTGGTGAGCACAGCGGCTGACCGCATTGAGGAGTTTCGCAAAAGACTTCGACCTGATCTCAGGCCGCACGTATCTACTATTCAAACTCTGGATTTCATTGAGGCATACGACCTAATCTCTAAAGCCGACAAAGATCTAAGTGATTATTATGAAAGTCTGAAGATTGAGATTGTCAATTTAAATGAACGACCAAATACAAGTGGGAAGAGACCTCTGCAAGAAATTGATAGTGCCCTACACTTGAAAAAGGGAAAATCAATGATAATTCAATCGACGTCATCCATGAACAAAATGAGAGTATGGAAACATCCAAAGTGTAACGTTTGTAAAAGACACCATCCAGGAGATTGCTGGCGTGCGCAAGGATTATGTCTAAGTTGTGGTAAACCTGGACATTTCCAACGAGAATGTCCCTCTAACCCTAAATCATATTCGGTTACTTCTGTCCAAAATCAACCTGTTCGCTCA